CTCTCAGTGGCCTTGCCCACTACCTGCTAAAAGCCATCAGCTGTGAAGAGCTATATTTTAGCATCTTTATCAAAAATTTTAAGCTCTCTCTTCAATGGCTTCCTATCTGGATTGTTTCTTTTACGGGGAGGGGCTGTCACAGGAGCCTCCATTGTCTTTCATTCTCAGGTATGAGCCTGCCATTGTTATTGCTATCCAGCAAGAATGGGCATCTCCCTTCCCTTTGCGCAAAGACCTCAAAGGTGAGCATTCCAAGTCCTCCTACTGTCTCACTCTGACTCAACTCCAAGATGAAAATCCTTTCTAGGGTCTTCTTGAATCAGTGCCTGAGTTTCTGGCCCCCATTGTGCTTCCTATAGGGAAGAGAAAAGTTCTTCGCCAAATGGCCGGAAATGCTGAGACACAAAGGGCCTGAGAGGCCACTGCGTTGTTTGAGACCCTCACACCTGCTGTCCTGAACATGAAGATTACCACATTCCACACTAAATGCCATCACTTTCACTGTGATTACGTGAGTGTTTAATGAACTGTAGCTGATTGCTGATGATGATAACCATTTGTATACTAGTAATGTTTGCTTTGCATGATGTTTATTTTTGAGCCCATAACCTTTGCTGTTTAGTCTACAATATGTCTGTAGACCAGAACAGCTCAAGGACTCTAGATACTTTGTCTGCTATTTAATGGGTTGAAAATGCTCTGGGACATCACCTGGCAAGGAGAAAGGGCAATTCATTCCCTTGTGTAGCCAGAGCTCCCAGAGTGCCTCATGCTTTTCTTCCTGGAGGAAGAGCCACTGAGTCAGCTCTGGCCTCGGGTCTTGTCTGAGCCTGACAGCGATGTCCTCAGTATCCACAGCCCTGTCCCAACTGAGTCTCAACCCATCTTAGAGCCCAGAAGAAGGAGCAGCTTGGCTGTCCCAGGGGAACAAGATACCTCAGAGCCCAGCACCTCTCCCTCTGGCCCAGAGATGGCTGCTAGAACTGTCCCATCTGAATCCCCAGGGCCAAGCACCACTCCGGAGTGGCCTCCAGAGTCTGAGGCAGCACTGTCCACACCCTCTTTCCTGCAGGACTATATGCCCAGTACAGGAGTCTTCTCAATTCTCCTGGAGAGCTGGCAGCTGTGCCATCTCCAGCTGTGCTGGCCAAGAGCCCTAGGTAAGAGCCCAGGGAGACCCACAGCTTCTGTTGGCCAGCTGGCCATGTGTGTCTGACTCTGTCCCTTTTCCAATCTATAAGGGGGGGGGTGTCCATTTGTCTCTGTCTCTTCATTCCTTCTGAGTCTGTCTATTGTCTCTGTCTCTGCCTCTGGGTCTGTCTCCTCCTAGCCTCTTGTTTGCTTTCATTCACTCCTCATCCATTGCTCTCTACCACCTGCTTCTGTTTGCTGTGCCCATGTCCCTATCCCTCCCTCCTGGCCCTCTGAGGCTCTCTGCCTGTGTCTTGAGTCTACTCCTTCTGCTGTCTTTCTCTCTTAATGTCTCTCCTGAGCTCCCTCTGTCTCTAGCTTTGCACGGAGGACAATCCTCTCCTTCCTAACTCCCAGCCATCTCTCTTTTTTCAGAACCCTCTCTGACTCACAAGGCTTCCTCCCCCTTGTGAATCTCCTGCTAGAATATGGTCCTTGCATCCTCCTCCATGTCCACATCTGTGCCCAGCCTTCCCCTGTCTGGAGTTCCCTGCCTGCCTGCTCCTGTATTCTTCCTCCAGCCCCACACTCTTCCTCCCCCTCCCCTCTTTCTATATTCTTCAACACCTCTTTCTGTCCCTAGGTCTCTGCCTTGATTTTCACCTTATAAATTCCCATTCACAGCCGTCAGCTCATTGTGTGTGTGTGTGTGTGTGTGTGTGTGTGTGTGTGTGTGTGTGTGT